TAGATTAATTGTGGAAATTTCCAGAAACAACACTGTGTAGCAAAACATGAAAAAATTAAAGCAAAAAAAAAAAAATCTCAGCTCATAATGGGCTTGCTAATGCCACCCTGTTCTCTCCAAAGTCTGTTTCAGTTATGTTTTTAGCTGGAGTTTCAATTTTGAAATTATGAGAATCATATAATTTCCACTTACATCCTACTATGCCTTTCAAATATTTGTCAAGGGGACTTTTATAGTTTTTCTTGAGTAAGAATTCTCTTGTTCTTAATTTATTCCTGCCTGAGTATACCTCTTTGTTTTGTTTTAAACATTTTGCTGTATCCTTCCCGGTTTTCGCTTTTAGATTGTTGTAGTTTTTAGCTCTTGCATGGCCAGGGTGGTCATTCTTAGCTCATAGTCACTCTCAGGTTTATATTTCTCTAACATTAGTTTCACCTTTCTCTGAAATCTCTCCAGATTTCCCATTATTTTCTAGATATAAATTCGCCATAATCTTTATAGATGTGATGACGCTATGGCATGAAGAATGGGATCAGCCTGACCTTCATGGAGTCTCTGGGTTGCTCAGACCTTGAATGGGTATCTTTCATATTTAGTTGTCTGTTACCAACTCATAGTAGAATTTTGCAAGCACCTAGTCCATTTTCTGGGTTCCTGATGGCTTTGGTCTTTTGTTTGTGGAGAGAAATATGCATAGACCGAACACTGCAACCTGAAATCCTGACTCTCTTAGTTCCATTTTGTCAGGGTTGTCTCAAACCTTACAGTTTGGGGTGAGCATTGCTGACTTCATGGACCATTTCATAGCTCTGTCTAAAGGTCTCTACTGTCTTCTGCTTCTTCCTCTGTCTGCTTTGCAAAGTGCACTGAGAGGAAAGATAAGGTGTTCATCTCATGAAAAGCTGGGCAGTGACTGCTGTTTGGATGGCATTGCACTGACACTAGGGAAATATTGATAAGGCCTTAAAGTAGGATAAAACCTATGGATGGCAGTTCTTTAACCGCTGCTGTGTCAGTGGGAAAGTCCTTCCATGGGATAAGGCAGATTTTTCCTACTCCTTCCTCTCTCATTTTGCTATGGACAAGTAATGCTATAATCAAACACAGCACAAGCGACACATATCTAAGACACCTTAAGAATAGGAAGCGACAATCAGAGGGCAGTAGGAATCATTTATTTCATGTAGAGCAGAGCAGTCCAACCAGTGGCCTAGGAACAGTTCAGGCCCATGGAATACTCCTGGCCAGCCCACCATCTGCTTCCCAAGGAAATGCTGTCCAAACGGCTCACAGCTCTGTCTCTGCTGTAGTGGTCAGGCCAGACCAGGCATAGCTGGAGGTGGACACAACGCGTGATGGGGATGGCTCTGAGGGGGATCCAGGCCACATGACTCTGAAAGCTGCACCACACAGAGAAGGAGGACTGATACTCAGAAATACTCAGTAGATGGCAGGATCAGGCTCATCCTGCCTAGGCAAGGGTATCTGACATCCAAATATCTTAGACAGCTTAGAAACTGAAATGAATTGGGTCAGCTCAGGTGGTTGGATTTTATGGCTAGCATGTGTATCAAGGGCAGAGCTAGGTATGAATGACACTTACAAAATGTTCTTTTCCTTTCTTTTTAACTTCTGAGAAACATCTGATGGAGAGTTGGGTATAGTCTCACACCAGGAGAGAATGTTGAAAGGCTTCAGTAAAATATCTCAAACAAAGGAGGCTGTCCTAAAGTTCAATGGAATATACTGCACATTTTGAAAGATGGAAGAACCAGTCAAATTCACACTCTGGATAGGAAGCTGTCCACAAAAAGATAAGAAAGAATTGGATGAAGCACACAGGGGCTAGGATTCCCTTCACAATAACTGTTCAAAACTCCATGGCCTGAAGTGTTCACAAGCAAAGGGAAAAGGTGCAGAAGAGCTGTCTGAAACATATTAGGTGAAAGGGATAAAAGGCAAGTCAGACTGAAGAGGGAAAAAAGCTACAGGGCTCAAACCAAAGCAATAGAGACAGGCACTAGAGTAAATGTATGTGGTTTTCAGGCTAGATAATATAGCTGAAAACAGAAAGCTCAGCTGTGGTACTGAGATGCAAGGAACATGTCAAGATTCAAAACATTTAGTTTCTAGAGAGAAAGAATGAACTTACACAATGATCCAAAGAAGAAATAAAATGAGTGGCTGTGCCTCCAGTGGCAAGGTTTAAAGAATAGGAGAGACCAGGAGGGAAGATCCTGTGTTACAAGGGGACAGACAACTAGTAGATAAAGGCACGGGTAACAAAAGGAATACTTCTGTTAACAATACTTAGCTGTTTTGCCATCAGAGAAACCCCACAGTGACCCTGTGACACAAGTGGGTATGAGCTAATGCTTATAACATCCCTGTGAGGAAAGAGGTGCTCTCATTTGTTAGATACAGCAGATGAAGCAACTTACCCATGGCCACAGTTTTATAGCTATGATTAGATCTCACGACCTTCTGCCTCCATATCCTCCGCTCTAGGCCACAGTTCCAGTACTGTGCACGAAGCACTGAATTTTCATCATAAATAAAACCAGAGTTGTTCCAGCTGGGTCACACTGGCACGAAGAACCCAAAGTCTGGCAACCAGAGTAAATCGAAAGGACTAGAAACTAAATATCTTAATCACTTAGGAGACTGAACAAGGACAAATACTTACAGTTTGTGGAAAAAAGTAAGTGTAGCTTGATGACATTTTTTCCAGGATGGACATAGAACACTAATGCATCAAAACATTTGTTCTGCAGAGCTGGCCTGGACCACAAACAGAGCAGAAAACCCGTATTTATGATAAAGAGGAGAACTCGGAGTGGTGCACAGACATTTCTAATCATCATCTTTTCTCTTTTGACAAGCTGAGCGTGACTGTGCACTGAAAGAGAAAAATATAAATGTAGTGAAATCAATTGCTGTTCAGAGAAAGATATGGAGCGAGTGATTGGGAATCCAAAGATCATGACTGGGAAGGCAAGGGTGCTGAGAATTTAAACCACCTAGAAAATCTATGCTCCCATTATTTCCCTTTCACTTCTATCTGCTTCTGTATACACATATGCACCTGTGTATGCATGTGTGCATACGCACGCCTGTATTTCATTTGAGAAACGTCAAGGGCTAGGAATGAATGTTGTTGAATTTTTAACATGGTTCTTTCGCTAAAGATGGCACTGGTGTGGGACACTTGCAGCCAAGGGGAAATGTTGAGCTCTCCTAACTGGATGTGTTTGGGTTTGTAGCAGTGAGTCTGGGCCCTTCTCTAGTGCTTAAATATTAGACAGCTCTTTCCAAGATTTGTGCTTACTAGTGCACAAATGATTCTGCTGACTCATTGTGTGATGTCTGAAGTAATCCATAAAATGAGGGGAATTTCTCTGGCTTGTTCTTGCGAATGCTGCTGCTTTAGGATTGTTACTCAAGAGTCTCTTCCTTATGTGAATAATTGGATGGCCCACAATCCATATAAATAGATGCATTCATGCGTGTTCTGTGTAACAATTACAGGGCTGAGGGCTTAGGAAAGCTTTTCCTCTGGACGTGTAAGGATCAAAATTTGGCTGTAGGTTAGTAAGCAGTGAGGCAAAACAGAAAAAGTCAAATTCTAAAAGCATAAAGTAGGGATGATCTCTTTAGCATTCAACCATCTATCTTCAGTGGACTAGCCCAGCTCTCAGGTAAAAACCCTGTACACGTATCTAAATCTTGCACTGAATCCTTTCTGATGCTTTTTTCCACAATGAATGGCCAAGCAAATCCAGAGGCATACCGAGAGATGGGTAATTGTGTAGATACTAAAACCTGTGTTCCCTACATTGTTGTGATTTCTATACACAGAAGTACATCCATATGATTTCTACATACATAAAATTCATCTTAAAAAGTGACTTGGAGAAGGTGAATAGAGCATGGATGTTCTTTGTCTTTCATAATGGAGAAAGCAGAGCATAAAATGAAATGATCAGGCGGCAGGCTAGAAATCAAACCAAAGAAGGCAGTGTATTTTTCACACAACATTCACTCTGTAGAACTCATTACCACAGGACATTTGGACATCAAGTATGTAGTTGAGTTTAGAAAATATGCAGACAAATGAATGTTAAAAACAAAATCACCAGGGTATGTTATACCAAAGTTACCATTATAGTTCAGGTGGTCCTTGTGCCCCAGCTGCTGAATGCTGCCAGAATATACCAGAAAGTATACTATATGCTCTGTTTTTATATTCCTTCCATCACATCTGCTGTTTACCACCGGCGAAGACAGGTTTCTGTGCTGGATGGACCTTTGTTCTGATTTAGTATGGCTAGCTCGACCCTCTCGGAGAAATCTCGTTTATGTTTAATCTATTGTTATGATGTTTAATCTATTGTTTACTACTTGCAGTAGTTAAATAGGCTCTAAGTATTTTCTGTATTTTCCCAATGGAGCAAACCCTGTGGAAAGGGTAAATATCACAGCTTGGTAAATATCAAGGTTCCTTTTTAATATCATTATGATAATGTTTGATCTACACAAATAACAATGCTTTAGTATTTCTGTGAAGTTATCTGAAAAACTCTATAAAAATTGAAAGAAGAATTTGAAAGAATTTCAATATAAGGCTTTTAAGGATCTGAATTCTTTTTTTTTGACCAAGCATGGTAGTTCATTCAAAACCCCTGTTAAGATGGGAAGTGCTTCAAGTACTAATATTTTGAGCAAATGAGCCCCAGTGATACAAACACTTATGCACATGATCAGACTTCTGAGTAATCCCATTGAACTGAATGGATCTGGGTGTGTTTTGAAAAAGGGTGTATATTTAAGTGTGTGTAGAACTGATGTCTAAACAACTTTCTAAAGATTGGCATATACCTGTCTTATATTTTTTTCTTCTGTGCCCATTTTAATTGGTTTTTCAATGTTCTAGATAATCATCCTAACACAGTCCTGTTTTTGTAATAAAGTGGATTTTTTTGAAATATCTGAACTGTCAGTGGTGATGTGTAGGACTCCAGGTGCTCCCGCTCATGGTATTGTGGAAGGAGATGACTTTAAATACGGGGCCCAGGTTTACTTCAAGTGCAACGCAGGTTACAGCTTAAAAGGCAGCCATGTTGCCTACTGTCAGCTTGATGGGATTTGGTCAACACATCATCCTGAATGTGGTAAGGTCACTTTAAATTTTGATTCTTATCAAACGTTTCGGCCAATGTATTTACACAAAACTAGAATATCCAAAGCTCACTGGAAATTTGGTAGATCTGTGGCTTAACATGATGTTCTTTTGTATTTCTGTCTTTAAGAAGCAGTAGGGATTCTTATTTTACTCTGCTGGAGCCTAAGCCTGCAAGACTTGCTTATAGAGAGGTCTGACTGAAATATCAAATGACCGAACAATAATTGTCTCCAAGACTTTAGGCATACATCCTTCTTACACACAGACCAAAAATGTTGAGGATCAAAACCAAGTGAGGGACATTGTGCAACAATGAATAGCTACTTCCATTACAATGTACCTCTACCTTCTCTGCAGAAGTCTGGTGCACTCTGTGGGGGTGATTAAAGGCTTACTGCATGAAGACTAGACTCCTGTTTCAACAAAATTCCTATCCTAGAGAAAAACTGATAGAAGAAACTTCCATTCATTCTGCCTGTGCAAGTTGGCATGCCTGCCAGTCACATTGTTGCAGCTGGGAAATTCGAAGCCCCTTCTTCTCAACCAAAGAGACTTTTAATTTTTCTTTAGTTGTTTTGTATTGCATAATTTTATTTCCATATTCCAGAATAATTTGCATCAATTGGAAAAGTGTTGTGGGAAACAATGTAAATCTGGTGGGAAGTGTTGTGAATCTGCTGTATGCAAGTCATCTGAAAGAGCAAGCAATAGGCATTCTTCTATCTAGAGGGAACGTCTCCAGTGGCAGTAAACGCAATATCAGGATTGCGCTAATGTCCCTGGCTGAAGATCTATTGAAAGACCTGTCTCTAGACTTGGCTGGTACTGAGGTGCTAGGTGGCATGATTTGGGTCGCTTCTTCCCTCGTGTTTTCTCTTTGGTTTTAATTCATCAAAAAAGGCATAACCCTGAGCTTAGGGAAGAAGAGAATTACTGTTCCAGTTACTGACAGGCACAGGAGGAAATAAGGGAAGGCCTTCATTGACTTACTTGGCCAACATTAGGTACCTTTGGAGACACACACTCCGCTCAGAGATGATGACTCTAGGCTAGATATCAGTGCTGAAAGCAGCTTGCACAGGAAGCACAATACTGTGGGTGTTTCCCTGTAGTCTTCAGCTGCTATCAAGTTATCAGTCACTTGTGGTTCACAAGTGAGAGAGCCTGTGAGGTACAGAGAAGAAAAATGGAGCCAAATTAACAGGGGACAGGGCTCTGCTGCTCCCTTTCTTCCGGCTGAGAGGAAGTTCAGACGTCCTCTTTTTTTTCTGAATATGATTCATGTAGAAAAGTATTTAAATACATAAATAACCTTCAGCATATGATAAAATCCAATGCTGTTAAAGAAAGCACTGAAACATCTGCTTAGCTTCCATTATGTACTCAAGAGCATAGGCTCTTCATCGGGCTCGTGCTGTTATGTGCCTACATGCTTTGCTGAGCTGGGCCCTGTTTGGAGATGTGAGGACATGGAAACAGAACAGGGTCAGACCTAGGCACTGTTACTGTGCTGATTTCACAGGGATTTAAAGAAATGTGGAAGTGCTTTGTTATACTTTAGTGCTTTTGTGAAGTGAGGCTCAGCAGGCAGCCGAGTCTGAAACAAGGACATGAAGAGGTCATTTCTGGTCAATTGATACGTCTCGGTCTTCTCAGCCCTCCGTAAGCAGAGCAGCACCAACACTGCTGTCTAAATTCTATGTTCACTGGTTATCATGCAATGAGACATCAGGCTGAGGAATTAATTAAACAAAACTGCATGTTACTGTCAGCCTGACAAGAAAAGTGAAATCCAAAAGGAAAAGAAAGAAGTAGTGTTTCAGCTGCTAAATAGAAAGAGCAGAGTAGTGAAAAATAGAGGGAAAAGCATTTATTAGCATCACATAGGGAAAACTGTCATACAGATTTAGGCCAAAAATTTAAGCTTATTAAGAGAAAAAACACAACAACAAATAAAAAGAAGGGGAAAATATTGGGAAGGTGGAATTAAAAATGGTTTTATAGCCAGCACATGGCATGAGAAACTTTCCATATTAAATAATTAGTATCAGTAAATGTATACATATGTTTGTTTATATATGTGTTTTCTCTTTCAATTCCTGTATTTCCCTGGATTATTGAGATCATAGAATCACAAAATGATTTCATCATGTAAAGTCAAGGTTCTTTTACGTTTTAGGGTCTTTTAAACATTTTAAGAACCTTACACTTTCAGTGAAGACTAAAATGTATCTTAGAAGCAGACATCTGTATATCATAGTTTCTTCTTTAATATTTGATCTTTTCAAAGACCGAGATCCCAAATGGGTCTTGAAAAGGCATCTTGAATAAAGTGTAGATTGTGTAGTAACATCTGAATGAAATGCCCAGCAATCTGATGGATGAAAATGCTGTGAACTTCATAAAATGGTTACTATTTTTTTCCCCTATCATTAGTTCTAGGTGAAAAAAACTGCTCAGACCCTGGTGGCCCACTCAATGGCTACAGAAGAGTAGTAGAAGACACTGGGCTTTTGAACGGACGCTACGCAAGAATTGGCACAGTCATTGCTTTCTTTTGTAACAACTCCTATGTTCTTAGTGGGAATGAACAGAGGACTTGCCAAGAGGATGGAGAATGGTCAGGGAAGCAGCCAATCTGCATAAAAGGTAGTTTGCAACCTTTTTTACCACAACTTACAAAAGCTGCTGTGTTTTTACTGGAGTTTGTTTTGTATGATTTACACAATCATTTTTGCTAAGAATAAACCATCTGACTGACACCTGATACTGAGATTGGTAGTTTGCCAGCTCTGCTGGCTGCTAAATTCAGCCAGAGAAGTTGCCAGCAATTCCAGAAGATGTTTCTGTCTTTACACATAGAAAGCAATGTTTCCTAAGACCCTTATTACCCTCATTCCAGACTCAAACCTGTGTAAGATCAAAATCAAAGAAGATCAGGAAGGAATTGAAATAGAAGAAAATAATTGTCTCTCAGAGTTTCTGTCATAGGGCCCAGCTCTCTCACAGCGCTTTTAAGACAATGGGACCTGTCATGAATGTCAAAGGCCAAGCCTGTAGATTGCAGCCCTGAAGGTTTGGTTCAGAAAACCACTTGAGGACATGCTTTAACTATCTGTGTTCATCAAAACACTGAAACACATCTTTAAACAGCTAGAAGGGGAATTATGCTGTTGACCTGGAGCTACTCTAAGCGTGTGTGAAACCCTGAATGGAGAATGAATTTGGGCTGGGGAACTGCCAAATTAATTTTCCCAAAGCAATTGTTTGACACATATTTTAATGGATTTTTTTCTTTTTTAACTGAACTAATGATAATATAAGGAAGTATGTCTATCCCCTGGGGAATTTGCTTTATTCTGTTATTTTAGCTAGAAATACTCTGTCCCTGAAGTGTATAATCGTCTGTGGAAAACATCCTTATTGATGATAACCATTGATGTTAACTTTGATAGTGACATAAAGGTTAACATATGCACTAGTCACAAAGAGCTAGATATTGTTAAATCCTAGAGAACACAAGTGCTCAGGCATACAGATAAAATCCATCCTGCAAGATTCCTTTTCTTCCTCTGTGTGCAGCAGGAAGGAGATACTGGCAGAATTATTTGAACAGATAACAACTGAATATTTTATCCTGCTCTTAAAGTAAATAAACTGAATATGCAAAATTAGAAATCCTGGATCTCCCTTCTCTCATTTTGTGCATATTCAGGTAACTCTGAGGTGCGCCTTTGGCTCAGTGTCTGTAGTTCCAATGGCTGCGCTACTAGAAGTCTCTAACATCCTGCAGCTTTTCTCTGTATGCTGAGTCATTTGGATTAGCTGTGTGTGGCTAGACAGACGGAAATGAAGTATTTTTGATAGAATTCCATTATTGCAAAAGTTTGCTCAAATTCCAGACCATCAGCTGTAGTGGTGTAAATCTGGCATTCAGACACACTGATGGACAAATCTTCCTCACTGGCTGCAAGTGCCAGTGCAGAAGATGCTCAGTTGCTTCTGCCATTGTAAACGGGATAGATCTGGTGATCTGTGGGGAAGTATTTTTCCAAGGCTTCAGCTTTTAGGGCCCAACCTTATTTTAATGCGCATAGCTTACTGCCTCTTCTCTTACTCCAGCATAGCTAGTGAGAGGAAAG